AGCTTGTCGCGTCATACCAAAAAAGACTCGAGGCTGTAATTGCTGCCAAAGGTGCTTCAACCAAGTACTGAGTAAGGGGTCTGAATACTGAAGTACATGTGATGTTTCAGTTTTTTTCTTTTTAATAAATTTACTGACATTTCTAAAATTCTGTTTTCACTTTGTCATTATGGGGTATTGAGTGTAAATTAATGAGGAAAAAAATGAATTTGAACGATTGTAGTACCAGGCTGCAACATAACGAAATTGAAAAAAGTGAAAGGGGTCTGAATACTTTCCAAATGCACTGTACTTCAGCTCCTTAAAAACGGGGTCTGTGTGCGTGTGCCTGCAACCTTGAATCAGAACAAAGGATTTCCTGTTGCTAACCAATGTTATTGTTTTTTCCCTAAGCAAACAGGTCAGTTTTGCCATCCCTGCAAATTCTGCCATCTTCACCCTTGTATTGCCAGTTGTCAAGGCAGTGATCAGGTGCCTAGGCAATTGGTTCGTTTAGATCCAGAGACAATGAACACACACCAGTAAGTAAGGAGACTTCAAGGTTTATTGTTAACTCTAGCAGACAGATTTAAACAGCAATATAAAAAATTAAGATCCAAAATTAGCAGATAGAATAAATCAGAAAGACAAAAGCATAGTGTGAAAGTGTAACATGCCAAGCAAGATGATAAAAGTCTTCCCCTACTGTTGGGAGCTACCGTAAGGCGACAGCAGAGAGACCCCAAGATGGCTTTGATAACGCTGCTCCTGGCATCAAGGCCATGTCCACACTCCCAGACTCCAGGGGTAATGCCAGGGTCTTGATCAAAGTCTGGCACTGCAATCCCATGACTCTGTTTACATGGTACCAAGACTGCAGGACTTGGCTTAGATGTTGCACCTGCTCATCATGTGAATCAAGAGCCTGGGAACCGTAGAGATAAGCTAGTGCTTAACCCAGTGTTTCTCAACTTATCAACTTTAAGATGTGTGGACTTCAACTCCCAGAATTCCTCAGCCAGCCATGCTGATCTGAGGATCTGAGGATGGCTCTGGGACCTCTAGTTGCCCACCCCTGCTGGGTTGGAGGCTCAGATTAGCCAACTTCCTCTCCTGGATCCTGCCAACCCTTCCAAGCACCTCTTAACCTTCCGAGTGGGTACCAGTGTGGTCAGTCAAGAATTGAACCAGGATTTGGGGCAGCCCATAAGTGGAGAACTCTGGGGCCCAGACGTGTGAGATGGGGGACCTCCAAGGCGAGATTTCAGATGCTGGGAATCCCCCGCCCCCCAGCTTGGCTACAACAATTTAGGGCGGAGGGGAGAGTGAAAGGTCCTCTAGTCACCGCTTCTGCAATAGCAGAGTGCCTAAGCCCCAGGAGTGTTTTCCCTCACCCCAGTCATCCAAGGGACCCCTTCTCCCCTCCTGAGATTACCAGACTCAGTGGGGAAGCTATTTCCCCCCTCCCATTCAGAAGACATCCCTCCCCATCTGAAAATCTCCTTTAGGTGTTCCAGATCAGGAGGGCAGGAATGCAAACTGCCACCAGATGGAGTCAGTTTACCAACTGGATTTCTCAGCAGCAGCATCTGGGACGTTTCTTTGCTCATCACAAGCAGGGAGGATGAGAGCCGGCAGCTGAGGACAGCGTCCTACAGCAATCACCAGGGAAGCTGCCAAGACCCCCACGGGCCTCCTTGCAGACCACGCTGCGGTGGCTGCCCCGAGACAACAGCTGGCTCAGAAGCATCAGGCAGTGGAGCTGCCTCTCTTCCCTCCTGCTCTGCAATTCCTCTTTGTTTTTGAAGCTATTTGCAGCCCAGATGTCAGCGCTACTCCATATACAATCAGGTTTGTGGAAGACATAGTGCAAGGATGGGCAGCAGGGGGTGTTGAGAGGGAGGCCCAGGGCGGCTGCTTCCGGACCTTCCTGTATTTACTTCACTGCCAACTTCTGGTTCTTTGATCCTTTCACTCCATATGCCTCACTTTTAAGTACCTTGAATATTCTGTACGTGTTGGAATCTCCTAAATTCCCTTCTGACCTTAGCTAACCTTGAACCAGCAGGGTTCCACCTGGTTAATATTTGGATGGGAGACTACCACACAATCCCAGGATATTAGAAAGTTAAAAAAAAAAATCAGATGAAGGCAATGGCAAACAATTTTCACATTGTTGCTAAGAAAACTATCAGGAGTTGAGCTCAGGGGAACTTTATTCATTCGACAAATTTGTGTACTTTTGTGTACAAGAGGGACTCCATACAGTACAGCCAATTACATGAAGATGTTGTTTCACTCTGACACTGACAGTCAAGTCTCTGTTAGTCAAAGCAACTAAACAATGTAACATTTGGAAAACTTCTATTTTATGCTGGTGATTCCTGAGAAATCCAGAATTTTAAAACACTCTTATTTGTAAACTCCTGCAGCTTTTGGAATATAGTTTGTACGTCAATGGAGATTTCTGCCACATTTTGAGCATTTCTACACTCTTTCTCCTCTGCCGACTCCCTGTTTATTACAGTTTCATTTTTCTACATACTGTATATGCTTTCTCCTTGGAGCAAATCTTCTGATAGGAAGATCTGTGACCCACTGCAAGTTCCTTCCACAACCCAGGAGCTTTTAGGGTTTACTGCATTCTCGCCTGTGTGAATCTTTTTATGTTCATTGAAGTTTGTGCTCCATCTGAAGCTTTTCCCGCACATGGCGCACATATAAGGTTTCTCCCCCGTGTGGATTCTTTGATGTGATTTAAGGTAGGAACTTCCTATGAAGCTTTTCCCACACTCCAAACACGTGTATGGTTTTTCTCCTGTGTGCACTTTCAAGTGGATGGCATGACTTTTGCTGTGACTGAAACTCTTCCCGCACAAGGCACATGTGTAAGGTTTCTCCCCCGTGTGGATTCGTTGGTGCAGCGTCAGCCCGGTATTCCGAGTGAAGCTTTTCCCACACACTGAACATTTAAATGGTTGCTCCCCTGTGTGGATTCTCTGGTGAGAATTAAGGCTGATGCTGTGGCTGAAGCTCTTCCCACACAAGGAACAGGTATAGGGTTTCTCTCCAGTATGGATTCGCTTGTGCGAACGCAGGTCCGAGCTCCCTCGAAAACTCTTCCCGCACTCAGAGCATTTAAATGGCTGATCTTCTGCGTGGGTTCGATGATGGCATGTCAGATCGGTACTGCGCCTGAAACTTTTTCCACACTCAGAGCACTGGTAAGGTTTTTCCCCAGTGTGGATCCTTTTGTGTTTGTTAAGATGGGATTTGCGACTGAACCTTTTTCCACACATGGGGCACTGACTCCCTTTTGTCTCGGGGTTTACTTTTTCATGGATTTTTATTTTGTGACCGTCTGTCCTTTCTGAAGGGAAAAAGGCACTCCCTTTCTCCTGCTTCATCCCTGCTTCTCTTCTCTGTTCATCCACTACCAGAAATTTGTCTCTTTCCAAGGACTCACGACATGGATCTTCCAAAGTCCTGCTTTTCCACTCATCATCTACTGGAAGAAAGAGAGAAGAAATGGTAAGATCCAGAAGAAGTAATGAAAAGTAAAATTTCCCTGAGCTCCAGGGCTACACGAACACAGAGTTTTCTTTGGCAATACTACAGAACTGGGGTGTTTTTTTTTTAATGTCTCAGTGCAGCCTTACAACCTTGGGATGTCCTGGTGGCCTCCCATCCAGATGGTCGGCATGCCTTAGTTTTTCATCAGGTTCTATCACCTGGTGTAAGAGAATCTCAGATCAGGCCACAAAGCCAGCTCACCGTTGCGGAGAGCTAAAGAATGCCAAAACTCTTAGAGAAGGCAGATCTAACTACCTGTGATCTGTTTGTTAAAAGTCCTAGCGGGTGCACGTACCCAACAAACCAAGTTTGAATAGTCTTACTTTTGGTACTTTTTCAGTGGTGCAGCATCTTCATTGAACACAGCTCATTTGCTTAAATTTATATCAGGATATTGTGTGAATCCTGAAAATGGCTTAATTCAGTAACTGAGTCTAATCTGTGTGTGAATCCAGTGCTGCTTCATTGTTAGGAGATCCCCCTCTACTCAGGAAGGGATCTGTAGGAAATACACCCATTTCACCCCTGGAACCAGGCCTTGCCTTCTCCTTATGGTAATGACCGTCTCCAGGGAACACTCATGAAAATACATTTACTGGGCAAAGAGGATGCTTGTAGCACATACGGCTCATTCCAACAAATTCATGAAATGCACACTCGGGAGGCTGGGCTGTTTCATGTAACCCTCTGCAAATATTCATTCCACACATTCCAGATTTTACACGATCCAGAGGGGTTTGGGCTCAGTCAGATTCCAACAAGGATCAGTCCTACCATCAGACACAGCGAGGTGGCTGATGCTGAGAGACGGCAATGAGGCATTGAAGAATAAAGCTCTGGTCCATAAAATCTAGCTTTCAATCCCTATCTTAGGCTAGAGGTTGCTGCCCCATTACCAGCGTTAAAGCAAGGTACAAGGTCCCACCCAGGTAGGACCTCTAAGGCACTTCCAGTTCTATGATTCTATGCCAGTTAAGCTGCCTTTTATGGCTGGGTCTGGGGGTGCCATATCCAGCCTACCTTCCTCAGAGAGAGTCCCTGGCAAAAAGAATTGCTCCAAACTAAGAAACCATTGGAATGAATGCATAATAAATGAGAAAACAGCAAATTGGGAGAAGCATAGGTAATCACTGGGTGGAACATTCTTGGAATGCAGAAGTCTTCAGATTTTATTAAGAGCCGCTAAATAAGGATTCTGTATGCCTGTGATCTTGGTCTGTTCAGTAAAGTCACTTCTGAGTGGAGCTCAGTTTCCATATTGGAAATTTCCCTCTTCCAAGATGCCTTTTAGCAATCCAGTCTGGTCTCTAGAGCAGAGGCTTCCTGGTGGTCTCCCATCCACCTAGCTTTGCTTTACTTTTTTGAAATCAGCCAGGTTCACCTACTGAATAACCTGATCCCAGAGGGTTCAAAACACAGGAAGTTTGCTTTGGTTAAGCCAAGGGGTCTTCTCAGCAGTGGGAATGTAGGAGCCTTACTCAGAGAGACCACATTCCCGTAATTCTCTACCATGACCTCCCACTGCAGAGCTTGTTGGTCAGGATCCAGCAACGTCCACTCTTCCTCCGAGAAATGCACAGCCACCTCCTCAAAAGACACTGGAACCTGGGAAAAAAAAGGGGGGGAAGCAGTTTCTCCTCCAAAACAGCATTAGAGTTCTTGACCACAACACCATCATCCCTCAAATAGAAGCACAAGGAAGGCGCTTACAAACTCAGGCCTTACTTTTGCATGTAAACCCCTAACTTTGGGGGTACAATTCCCACAACTACACTGAAATGGAACACCCCATTGGCATTTCTCATGGAATGGAAATTATTATCTATGTTGGGATTGTCCTATTCTCTGTATTCAACTAACCAAGTTTAAACAAGAGCAAATCCTATTTCTTTTTTCCTGCTTTGGCTTTGCCCCACTTATTCTTGTTATTGTTACTATTATTTATAGTATGAACCCTAATAAATTCACTCCAGGGCCTTCTGCAGCTCTGTGCCTGAAAACAGATGCATTTTTCCAGGGAAGGACAAGAATCAAGCCATTTCCGATGATATTTCAAGTAATCCAAGTGAGCAGCTCTTCAAGAGATGTGCAAGGACCTCGGGCACCCCAATGATTCCCCGTGCTTCTTTCCAACAGTCTCTTTCCCCTACCTGATCCAGCTGCACCAAAGCGGCTTGTCCTTGACTGCTGAGAAGAGGTGCCATGGAAGGCTCTGCCAGAAAATCCTCAACAGCTGTAAATGCCAAAGACATGCGAGGAGGAAACTGCATTTTTATGTACATTCTGACATTTCAATTTTTCAAACACAGGAGGAGAGGCAAAGAAGAAGTGGAGCCATAGGGAAAGTGAAGGAAAACGTCTCTCCCCATGTTTGCAAAATTCAAAATACTTATTTGAAGAGATGATACAGAAACATTCATCCCTCTTGTTAAAAGCAGGGTAGATGCTGAAGCTGTGCAAGCATTCAACAGTGCTTCTCAGAGCATGCCAGAATGAACAATGAGCCTCTCTTCTGAATGTTAAAACAGCCTTGTCTTTTGCAAGTGTTAAAACAAGCCCCATCTTTTGCAACGCAGTCCCTGTTTGTGTGTGCATAACCACTTCATTGCAGCCCCCACAGGAACGTCTCTGCAGGATGGCCCGATCAACTTTTTGGAGGGCCAACCCCAATGGGCCGCTTCAAGGGTCTGAAAAAAATTACACAACATTTACAAGTAGAGAAAGATGGATCTGAAAGTATTCCACTGCAATCCTTC